GTGAAAAATTTAAAGGGGTCTGAATACTTTCCGTACCCACTGTATATGGGTGTGTCTAAATGACATGGGAGTGTTAACCTACACGTGACCCTCATCACGGCCTGATTTCTGGCGATGAATAATAAGCAGCACTATAAAATCTTAACACACCTGAGAAACATTCACATGGTGTCATTTTACGTCTATGCATAGGTGAGCAGTGTACAGGGGAGTACTGTAAACCCTGAAATGTGAGACTTTGACGTTGAGTGCAATACAAATGTTCATACAAGCATACCGTAAGCATATACTTAATTGTTGGTAAACACCAAGATTACAGCTTAATGCTGCTACAACCGTCTTTCAACAAGAGATGATGATTCAACTGAATGATACTTTTTGAGGCCATATTTAATGATTGTTATGTTTAAGATATTTCAAATGTTTTTGTCCACCAAGGGAGACAGAATATAAAGAAATTCCTACTAAATATTTTGTCAGTAACGTTAAAAAAAGCAGATCCAAATCTATCCTTTTTAAAGCTGAACATGTGGCCCCATGCCGAACATTTCCTCCACCACCAACATAACGGCCTCTCTCACAGACGTCATGATGATAGAGTGTTAAAGGTTTCTCTTTCCTTTTGTCACAATGACATAGTTCAGATTTTTACTTTCTCACCAAGTTGTTTCGCTTTCAGTTCAGATACAGAACATTGGAAGGTTACTGGAGATTGAAATACTGCTCATGTTTCACCTTTCTTTTTACTTTTTTTTTAAGGTTATCCACCAAAGACAAACATGGTCAAGGAAACGGGCTTCTATGATACATTAGGTGTGAAACCTAATGCTACTCCCGACGAACTGAAACGGGCCTATCGTAAACTAGCGTTGAAATATCACCCCGACAAGAATCCCACTGAAGGAGAGAAAGTAAGTACCTGTTTTTGCACTCAGAAACATTGGCAGCTTTAATTTGTATTCAAGTAATTTTCCTTGCATATGAATTAGTAATGGAAATATCCTCATAACGGTCTTAATCTTTTTATGAATAGATCTCAAATCTACTGGGTTTTTAGATATAAACGAATGTAATAGTGGGTAGTTTTTGTTACATCTATGTTTGATGGTTTGGTAGATTTATCAAAATGTTATTGTGGCATATGCCAAGGCCAAACAAAAGTAATATTTGAAGGCCTCAGTTATTATTTTGCATACAATGCCAAAGAGCTGAATACCTTTTTTTAAGCAGCTGTATCTTGCCAGAAATGTTTGTTTTTTACCCTCTTCTAAGAAGTCTGTATGTCATTTTGTTGCTTTGCTTTGTAGTTCAAGCAGATCTCACAGGCATATGAGGTTTTGTCAGATGCCAAGAAGAGAGAGGTTTATGACCGGGGAGGTGAAAAGGCGATAAAGGAAGGAGGCACCGGTGGTGGTGGCAGTGGGGGGAGCTTTGCGTCGCCCATGGACATCTTTGACTTGTTTTTCGGGGGAGGTAGCCGGATGCACAGAGAGCGAAAAGGTACGGAAATATTGAAGAAACGATCACTGAGCTGTATTTCTGTTTTAACAGTTTTGAGGTCTGATTGAATTGTGTAAAGTGATACAATGCATCTTCTGAGCCAGAGGCAGTTGTATTGGGGAGGAGGGAGTTACAGTATTGAATACTAAGTTGGCTGACACTACTGATTATTTTAACTATTGATTAATCCGTGACTTGTGTCTGCTTGTTTTATCCAATCAATAGTCCAAACTACAAAATATTGCATTTACTAAGACCAAGATAAGCAGCCAATTAGGTCATTGTCGATGTCAGTATTGGTGTAAATGTCACACGATGTATGACAAGAACTTGAAGTACAGAAATGCCAAAGTCTGTAGTTTATTTTTCAACTGTAAATCGTGCTGTCCACTACATTTCCTGTTTGCAATTGTTAAAAAACAAAATGAAGGGGACCTTATCCAAAAAGGACATTTATGTAAAGAACATTTATATTGGCAGATCATTAAACATTATTCTTCAACTCTCAAATATCAATATTTGTATTGGACTCAAAGATTCTGTATCAGTCGGCAGCACACATGACTTTGTCCTGTTCATTTTCTCCCTGCAGAATTTAGTTTAAAGGGAACAAAACAAAACATCTTATTGCTCTCAAGAATCTCCTCCACATTCCATTTTATTATAGCCAAAACACAGGGCTGTCAAATATTACATACGTCTTAACTTATTATCTTAATTTGTGACCATAGGGTTTGGCTGATAGCCTCAAATAGCGAAGTAAACACACAGCTGATCCCCATCAAAGCCCAGTGTCATCTCCATCACAGCTGTCTCTCGTTCACATTCTTTGTGCAGTCTTGTGATGATGTTGTAATTTGCGGTCGGTAGCAGAAAAAGGCTTGTTTATGTAAACATGCACAGTATGTCATATGAAAGGAAAGTGATGAAAGGAGTGTGTTGATGAAATCTAATCATTTGCCGACTTTATTCCAAGAAACCGTGTTGCTGAAACCTCTGATTTGTCTGCCCCAGGGAAGAACATTGTTCATCAGATAACGGTGACGCTGGAAGATCTTTATAATGGAGCTACACGGAAGCTTGCTCTCCAGAAGAATACGATTTGTGAGCGATGTGAAGGTACGTCGGTCACTGGAGTTGTTAAGTTTACCAAGAATGATTTTCAGCACACGCTGATCCAAGCAGGCCATGAAAAGGCTCTTTGTCCAACAACAAAACACATCATTCTTGTAAATGTAATCCAGTCCTCGAACACCAGGTCCCCGCAGTTTATATAATCCACCAAACCTAAAACAAAGCCTTCATCTTTTGTGTTCCTGTGTGCTGACAGTTTATTTTTCTCGGCAGGTCGCGGGAGTAGAAAAGGAGCTGCACAGATGTGCATGTCCTGCCACGGCACGGGCATGCAGGTCCGCATGCACCAACTCGTGCCAGGTATGGTGCAGCAGGTGTCTACAGTGTGCCACAGCTGTCAGGGCCAAGGACAGAGAATCAACCACAAGGACCGCTGCAAAGCATGCGGAGGTCGAAAGATCCTGCGCCAGAAGAAGATTTTGGAGGTCCACATTGACAAAGGTGAGAGTTTATCCTAAATCTATCTGTAGCTTGTCTGAGGAGGGAAAACAAATGGTACATCACATCGTCACTTCACTGCCACAGGAATGAGAGATGGCCAGAAGATCGTTTTCCATGGAGAGGGAGACCAGGAGCCAGGAATCGAGCCAGGTGACATCATCATTGTCCTGGACCAGCGGGAACATTCATGTTTCACCAGGTAATACATTGTCTGTCATCAGCTGTCTTTTGTTCCTGATGCAGTGATGATGGTGATCTTGTATAGATGGTATATACCGCATTGATATAATTCTGCTCACCTGTTTGTTTTGTTTTTTCTCATCTTGCTGTCATTAGGAAAGGAGAGGACCTGGTCATGTCCATGGAGTTGCAGCTGGTTGAGGCTTTATGTGGTTTCAAGAAACCTGTTCAGACACTGGACAACAGAACACTGCTCATCACCTCACGTCCAGGTGAACCAAACTGCTAAATGCACAGCTACGCCTCACTGAATGTCAAGTTTAGGTCTTTGAAAGGGAACAAAAGGATCCGTTTTCGGATATTTGCACCGGCACATCCTAGTCAACAAACACAGGACAGGAATTGTTTTATACTTCAGTGTTTTTTTATAACAGCTTGCAGTGCTGGTTAATCTGACAGACATCAGTCGTTCACGCTACCCCTTTACTATTCACACAAAAAAATGCAGCTGAATGAACACTGCCGAGTCCTGAGTGCGTTTGTAGAGTGTTTTCTACAAGTGTTCATTGCTGTGCACTCCACTTCACTGTATAGACACTCACTGTATTGTTGAATTACACCCTTTATGCTAATAGTTCTTTTAAAGACCGTCGCACTGATGTGCTGGTAAACTATCTTAGAATGGGGGTCTGGTGTGTTTCAACCACACGATGCATCCAGTGCCTCAAATTACAAATTATTTACATGAATTGGATTTCTACAAACATTTTTGTTTTATTTTTATTAATACAAGTGTGTGTTTGGCAGCAGTATTTGGGCTAGACTTCATAACCAGTGCTCACCCCACCCTTGGGCCTCCATTTGGGATAAACAGCATTCCACCAAATTAATCTACCAAAGAAAACGCCTTTAAAACAATCAAATCCATGGAATTTATTAAGTAGGAAAACATAGAAACGGGACAATACAAAATCGTAGGCTGAGAGGCAACATAACCAGCAGTCCCTACAGCTTTGACCTTATTCTTCTTCTGCTGCTGGCACGGGAGCTTTTAATCGCCTCCATCCCAGGCCAGGTGCACCTCGTTAAGCAATGCAGCACACTTGGGCAGAGCTACTAGAGCGGGAAAAGGGACAACGGTCTGGGGAACACATCCAGCTGTAACACCTGAGAAAAACGACCTGTACTTATTTATTTATTCGTAGGTGCTGTACTCGTCAGACAATGTAGAACACCCGATGTTTACCTACAGATCGACTAAAAATAAACTTTATTTTCATCAAGCCTCTATGCATTGATCACATATTGGCAAGATGGTTAAAGATGACAAGAGAATGTAAAATATATTTTTTATGTTTTATGTTGGGGTTTTTTCATGACTAATGTGGCCCAATTTGATTTAATCACAGGGGAATTGATCAAGCCTGGAGACACGAAGTGCGTCTTGACTGAAGGGATGCCCATGTATCGCAGACCCTTTGAGAAGGGCCGCCTTATTATTCACTTCTCGGTAAGGACTTTTCCTATATCCACTTTTTGTTAATCAGTTTGCTTCTTTTCGTCTTTTTAAAATACCAACAAACCAAAACCAAAGGAAGTGTTGGACAGATCATCACAATATTAAACCGCTGAGGCTAAACACGGTTGTTGTAGTAAAATATTTTATGCTCGTCTTTTTTTTAGGTGGTGTTCCCACAAGCCAACTTCCTTTCTGAGGACAAGCTGAAGATGCTGGAGCGCTACCTCCCAGAAAAGCTGGATCCAGAGCAGCCAGAGAGCATGGACGACGACCTCTACATCTACGCCGACCTGGAGGACTGTGACCTGGACAACAGGAAAAGAAACAACCAGCAGTACTACTACATGGAGGAAGACGACTATGCCAGCCCCGGCGGTGTTCAGTGCCAGACGTCTTAAGTAACAACCGGCCCGTTCTTAATCCAGAAGCCCTCCCCTCATCTCTAAAGTAAAGCACCTTTTTTTGGAATTTAGTGCACTTTTTATTTAACTGTTGTTTTTCAAAGTTTTCTTTCAATCTCAATCAGAAAACAGTGTCCCAACACCCTGTTGATTTATTATTCTACTACTCTTTGGATGGAGTAGAGTATCATAGTTCCAGGATACATCTTCTGGGTGAATGGGCTTCTCTTCATCTCTTGGACCTTTTTTCTTTTCTTTTAACTTTTTTTCAATCACACTGTGATTAGAGACGAGGGGTATCGGAGGCTTCAGAAAAAACTTTTGTCTGAACAAAGACTGCCTGCTTTTTATGCATTTACACTAAAAACGGATGCCAATATTAAGATGAACATAACCTTTTTTATAGTGTTACTAAATCAGTTGTTGTAAACCACTTGTTGATGACTTGTTCAATACGTTGTGTGTGTGTGTGTAAAGACCCAATCCTCAGATGGCGGTGGAGGTGGATGTGCATTGAGTTGAACGTTTATGCTGTTTTACCCTTTCAAGGGCTATTTTCTAGACATTTCTTAACGATCTTAAAAAATGTGGCAAGAAGACGTGAGTTGGTAGTAATTTAAGGTGATCATGGCTCAAGCATGGCAGCATTTAGGTTCACGCCACTAATGTCGATTTTTCAAGCTGATATTTAAGTTTGGTTTAATATTTTTGAGCTGCAATCAGTTCTCTGGTGATGCCACACTTTTTGGAAACCTATCGTGTAAAGTAGAACATCTTGTATGTATAAACAACACAGTTTGATATGAGCCAAATATGACTGCATATTACTGGCAGGGGTAGGTATTAGGTCAAAGATGAGTAAGAAGTCCCTTTATTTTGAAATATCAGATCACGGGTGTTTCCAAGAAGCAGGTTATCTGGATAACTCAACTTCAGAATGGGTATTTTAACATAACTCTGTGATTTGGGGCTTTCTCTTGGCGAAAAGATATCTCGGATAACTTGTTAGTAAACCTGCTAACGGGTCCATAATGTCTTCATGGCAAATGTTTTCCCTCTTGTTAAAGTGTCGAGTGCCCAGTTTCACCCAAGTCTCACAAAGAGAGAGTGATCGTTTTAGGTTGTTTTAAAGATTGAATGTTCTTGAGATTATTTCAGTTATGTGTTTTTTTTTTGGGGGTTTTTTTTAAACTATTGGTAATTACAAATTTTAAATCAAAGATAAACTTGTTCATGGGTTTTTGCTTATGTAGGCGCACAAGAAATTAAGTCTTTTAAATGCCAAATAAGTCGGGAGGTTACGGAGGGACCTGGTACCTCACTGAAATGTCTGCTTGTTTGAAAGCCTTGTAACTTAACTTGAAGCTATAATGCAGGTTTTTGTTTTTTTTCCAGTGATGACTTTGCCTTGGATATTGTAAAACACAACTATGCTCACCAGAAGGGAGGTTCCTTTAATTGTTGAAGCAGATGCAAATTAATGAGTACTCATAATGTCCGGGGAACTGGACTTCAAAGTTCAACTCATATAAGTGTTTTCAAGTTCGTAATTTGACTGACGACGGTATGTGTGTGTGTTAGGACCAATGATCTACTTGTTATGCTCATGTTTTCTAATTAAATGCAGTTTGATGGTCTCTCTCAATTGTGGTATTACTTTCTGTGAGCGATGTTTACTTTTGTTTCCAGGACATCCCACTGACATGTATAACATTTAAGAGTAGTTATTTCAAAAAAGACCTTTTAACAGTTTCAACTTTTGGTTTTCCTCTGAACACCCACACAGGTATTTTCACTTAATCTGGCTGATTAGACCTCTTCTCTGGACCGTGTGGGCGTGGACAGACTGAGTGATGGACATCTTCCTGAGTCTCCTGTTTGAGCTTTCTTCAACCAATTTAGGGGCGGGAGAAATGAGGCCTTAATCATTCTTATTGGTAGATGAAGATTTGTGACCTAATTAGTTCACATCAAAGCTCTGGCCCTCCTTCAACCTGAGCAGAGGTCTGACCAGCCAGAAGAATTGAAAACACCGGTGTCGGTGTGCAGAGGCTTAACAGTACAAACAAAACCTTGAAACTACCACAATGCTCCTGTCTTTTAATTGGAGTAACTCTAGCTTTTTTGTTAAGTCTGCATTTTATAGCTGAACTGCATATTAGATAATATTGGTTGTCTTTAAGGGTAAGAAATAATTCTACAATTCTAAAACATTGGCCCAAAACGACAACTATTTTGATAATCATTTGATTATTCAATCATGTAAGTCATTTTTTGGTTCCAGCCTTTGATTTCATACTTAAATTTGGCTTTTTTTTTTTAACTACAATATTTTTACATGTAGGGGAACATTATCTGATACTTCAGTTGGTTATTATTTTTAAATGGCACACAAACATTGGGAACTGTAAAGGCTTTTTTGAATTTTATTGATAATCATTTTTGACATGACTGGCAGTATTATATACTAATTAATATATAATAGAGCGTAATGACAACACGTGTTTTGCAAAAATGATACATGAATGATATTACAGACACATGCTACAAAGTGCCAAATACTGTAGTACAAATAAATACTGGTCGAGGCAGTAGCTATGTTTCTTGAAGGCATACTGATGCACATGAACACATTCAGTACATTTATTATATACACAGGATACAAAGAAGTGTCACTGGAGCTCTGTTGAGGTTTATCATTAGTCATGCATATTTTTAAGGAGTACTAAAATTATTGTAGAGTCACATTTAGACAGTGCACTGAGGTAGCATGCGGGGAACACAGAGGACAAAACAAATCATTTCATCTGAATCAAAGTTACAAAAGTATTATAAATCAAAAGCTGACAAATGATATACCTGATATTGTTTGTTTATGCCCAAACAAGAAGCATTTTTTTATTAAAAAGATTTGCTCAACAGTTCACCATCATGCATTTTCATGTCTAATAAAGACAGAAGAGATGAAAATGATTCTAACTGCTCTGGTGAAGTTGGATCCATGAGGAAGTGTGTGTATGTGTGTGTACAGTATGGAGGACCTAAACAGTGCTCCAAATGTATATAAAGCAAATATCTTACAAATTATTCAATCAATCAATAAAACAAATAATGTATAAATAACTGACAAATTCTACGTAGTAAAAATATATCGATTAAGACCCAGTTAAGAGTTTATAAATTAGTTTAACAATATGCCCAAAAGTCTCTTAGTGATATTCTAGATTGTTCTTATTGTCAAAGGAAACACTCACTGGCTAGCACCTGAACTTGTTGATATTTTGAAATGATTGGCAGAAATTATCACCATTTATTAAAAACATATTAATTTATATCTGCGGTTCCAAGTTTATTATCGACCTTTGGAACCAGCAGTTGAGGAAACAACTTCACCACAGGGTCCATTTAGCAGCTTCTTTCACCCATAGCACATGATGGTCATCACCAGATGCTGTTTGCCCGATTGTCATGGGACTTTCTAAACTGATGTTTCTGAAGTCGAAAATGTATTTGGCACCTCAGCTTTTGTGGCAACGTTGACAAGCAGAAATTAAATTGCTGTAAATTTGAACATCTGCCATTCCATGACGACTGGAAAAGTCTATCAGCTGATGAAGATCATGTGATATGGCCTAAAACTACAGACCCGCTACTTAACGGACGTTGTGGCGAATAATAACGGATGATTACGGATGATTAATGTATCCATTTCCATCGTCTTTAAGTGAGTACATTGCTCTATAAGCATGTGTAAGGCTCTGTGGATCTTCAGGAGACAGTTTAAGGTTTCCATAGCCTCAGGAGGCCGTCCTCGCTGTAGGTGGCAATCAGATTCTCATGTGGGTGGTGAGCGATGCCAATTACATCTTTCTCGTGAACCTGTGGGCGCAGAGGAACACAGATCACCACACATTCTCTGTTTCCCATCAGCCCCACTGTTACCTTGTTTAGGACTGCTACACAGCCTTAGTGACACAGTCAGAGTATCAAGTGAGACGGAAAACCACTCGATACAAAACATCAGCAGCTCAGAGAGGATGAACAGACGCCTCTCACAGACTTTGATAACGAGTGAATATTATCAGAGGAGCTTACGGTCAGCGTTTTCTGCAGCCTTCCCGTCGTATAGTTGAAGCAGTACAGCACTAGGTCCTCTCCCACACAGTAAATCCACTCCCCGCGGGGTGACAGGGTGCAGCACACAAAATCGGCCTTTTCCTTTCTCTCTGAGCAGAAGGTCTTCACAGTCTGAGGAGAAAGAGGACATTCACCGTGTGAGTATTAGCGTAACCAAAATATGAACAATCGTGTATAGATTATGTCAGGGAGCTCTCACCTGACCGTTCATGCTCATGATGACCACCGTGTTGGAGTGATTACAAATCACAAAGTGCTCTGGATTTTGGGGAAGAGGAATCACATTGTTGACAGGGTCTTCTGAGGCCCGGGACAGAGATTTGAAAGTGTGGATGCACTGGCAGGATGTTGTATTCCAAATCTAAAATATGCAAAGAAAATGTGAAATAAATCCACTGAGTGACACTCTCCTAGCCACATAACAGTATTGACGCAGCACAGACATGAATACAAGTTGCTCATTGTACCTTAACTGTGCCATCAGATGAGGCACTGATGATGTGAAATCCATCTTGTGTGAAAAATGCATCATTGACGAATGACGTATGGCTGTTCAACTCCTTTAGTGTCTTGCCTGATCTCAGTTCATGAATTCTGAAAATAACATTGACATGTTAAAAAAACTGAGAACAAAATTCTATCTCAAATAAATCAGCATCTCTGACTACGGTAATTATCAAATCCATGTTTATTCAACTAAAGAGTGGGTTTTCTTGGGAGCAGACAAAACGTGTTGCTGAGCTGCCGATG